GATTCATCTATTTATCCGATTTTTTTAGAGAAGTTTATGAACCACTACTTAATTCTGAACGGAAGGCAACTAGTGTGACAATTCTTGGGAGGCAACTCGTATATAATTATGAACGACCTGGTCATCGGAGCCTTCGGAGGCAACAATGTATATTCAACTTTTTATTTACGATACGGATGGGAGGCAATTCGTATATTTTGGGAGGCAACTAGTATGCGCCGTATAATACACCTAGTAGGTATGGTACAGCTAGTATGCAACATACATAATATATAGAGGTCAAGTGCAAATCTTCTTTTTCTGTCTCGTCGATAATATTGTAATATAATTTAACTAATTTTCATATAGGTATTGTAGGTATAATACTACACGACCACTGCAGCAGAGCATAATAATATACTATATAGGTGCTGTTATATAGGTACTTATAAGTTATATAGGTAATAAATAGCGACGCATTGTGCACGCGTGTTTAGAGACCCGCGAGGAGACAATAGGTTTGATTTTATCCGTTCGGCCGCCATACAGAAACGCGCACGGGTTGGCCGCCGGCGATTTTTTTTTTATATTTTCTGCTCGAAAGCCGACGCCAAATGTTCCGGAACGAAAACTTCGGAACGCAAACGATTAAATAGACACCGCCGCCGCCGCAGATATTATTATTATATAATATACCAATATATACATCATCATAACGTGTACCACACTGTTGTAGTTCACGTGTGGGGTGTTTATACTCTGGTTTTATAATAATTATAAGCCGCTGATATAACATAGGAGGTAGGTACAGGTATTAGGTTTATTATATAGAAAAAAAACTAATGATTTATTCCGATCTTTATTTTTTATTTTTTTCCGTCCGAATAAAATATATAATGGTAAACACGATTTCAGATTTTTCGGGCTCGAAATAATGTGCTGCAGTTGTAGATATACCATTACGCGCGTGTTTTCTTTTATAGTCAAGGACAACTGAGGTTTTTTTTTTTTTACAGTCGTGAAATTCGCCGAAAGGTTTCCTGCCCGAATTTCATTGACGGCGATACCTTGGCACACATATAATATAGGTATAGCTGCTGTTGTCATACGGCGTATTATTATTATTATTATTATCGTCACCGCTCCGGTCTACTGCGTGTTTTTTTTTAACCATTTTATGAAACAAAATATAAAACGAAGATAACATCCCGACATGCCGAGTATTTCGAATTGGATAAGAGACCGAATAACAAAAAAAAAAAAAGGAATAATATTATAATAACGGACGTATAATATTTGTTGTCGCCATTTAAGCCCACGTCCAGTTTCTGATTTTAGGTTGATTATCTATTAGCATATTGACGTAAGCAATATAAAATATAATTCAATAATATTGATATTGATTATATTGTGTATTATATATTTATATTCGATTATGACTTCAGTTTAAATATATTTAATATTATAAAATATGTAGGTACTTACAGTCAAACAAATGTATCAACGATTAATTTTGAGTAGACGTTATTATCAATAAACTATATTAGATATTATATAATTTTTTTTAAAGTAGGTTTGTTACATAAATTATTTGTATAAATTTGTATATTTTTATGTGTGTGCGATAATAATATAAAAATATCATGTTATGCGATGAATACATAATATCTATAAATGTAGTCTATATTAATTGTTTGGTTACACGTTTTAAATTCCTAACACACTCGCCGTGTTTCGATTGAAATCGACGACTTTATAACAAGGTTTTGAATACGATTTAATTGCTGGAGTAGTGGAGTGTAGAATTTGGCCAATCGGAGATATCGAACATTTATAGGTACATAATAATTTATAGTATAATTTATAGTATTATACAGTATACCTATATAATGTTAGTTAGGACATTTTGGAAATGTTGAGTTTTGAATGAATGATCTCAATATTATGTTCATTCATAGTTTCAGTTTTAATTTGACGTTTTTTACACTATTCAATAGATAGCCTACGCAAATACAAAGGCTAACGCACTATCTTTATAATTGTTAATAGGTACCTGTATTCATGTAAGATATAGATTTTTACATTCTAGACAAATCAACAGGTCATAATATATAAAATATATTTATACAATACGTAATAAACATGGTTGACAGCGCTGACTTTATACGACGAACAAAATATTATATAATAATTAATAATAATATATTATAGGCACATAGCACTTAAATAAATCCACGTGATGGACGTTCATGTGACGAAATATCACACTGATGGTAACATGGTAATATCTGTCATTCACTCCTCTCCCATTCGAGCGTCAAGCTATACTTTTTTTATTCGACTTATATTTTATAGATTACAATATTCATAATGTGAATTATGAATAATATATTCAATTTTTTATGATCTTATCTGAAGTTTTGAAGAATTACGGACCAAATGTACAAGGAATTTTTTGTCTAGTTTAATCTGTGTATAAATAAAATTGTCTATAAAGTTATTTAAAGTGATATGACTTATGATAATATACATATTGTCCAATGATAATAGTTTATTGTTTATAAATGTCTAAATGTATCATCATCGTTACTAGTTGACAATAATGTACCTTACATTTTATACAAATATTGCTAGCTTACATTTCCCTTTCACCTTATGAGTATATATTTATAAAATTTAAATACCGTAGTTTTCATTTTTATCCGAACGATGTTTAAAAAAAAATTTGTGATTTAATTAGATGACTAATTAATTAATAACTATTATTGCAAGTATTTATTTTTATCGTGTATGCGTGTGAGGCGTTTTCAATGTTGTATAAAAAAACATCATACCGAGAAGGTGAATAACACCTCATAAGGTTCATATCCTGAATATACCCCTCCCCTGCCCCCTTGACCAACAATAACCGTCACTGAAATACCATGATAATATTACCTTCACATCCGTCGTTTTTTATTTATTTATCAACGTGCACAACGAATTCGGTTATTTGCAAAATTATACAAATGTTTTATGTAAACACGACAATAATTTATTTTAACGATACCTCTAAAATCTATTTTACAACGTTATCGATGTCAAGGAATGACGTCGTATGTATAATTTTATTTACGGCGTTTGTATATTGTAAAAATAGCAATATATTATAATAAATAATTATTATTATTATTTAGTATTCTATACCGCAGTACAACAATCGTCGACGATTTTTCGCATATTATTTCAACTAAAAAAATGTAATGCGTAGTTAATTTCCCCGACGACAACAATAACATTGGTTTTTCAAACGCCCCCTGACCGACTGTTATCGGATACCGTCACCACAAACGTCGCACGCACATGATAGTTTGTGTTGGCAAAAATCGACAGTATATAATAATATATTATATCCCAATTACGTACTATATTATAAAATAACAATGTCATAGTTGTAGATAGGCGATTGTCTAGTCAAATTATTGCTTAATCGAGACACTGCGACGTCTAGTCGTCTAGACTTGCGTGACTGCGGAATGTTTGTTATGGTACCAGGTATCGACGAGCTTGTTTTCACCATAGAATAGTCAGTATATAGGTACAATAGCGAAATACAATTTTAATAACAACGTTTAACCTCTGAGGGCGATTCGGAACGGTGGTGATAACCGTGGTTAATGATAAACAAAATAATAATGATATTATATACCGTCTGGTCGTCGAATCGCGCGGACGCGTTTTGTCACCCATATAGCGAGAAAACTATAAAAAAAAGATCTCAAGATATCGTAATATGTACATCAGACGACGTGCGGCGCGTGTATACTGTGTTGTAACTTGTAACGCATAATAATAATATTTTATACTTGCCAGTATATACATGTGTATTATACCTTGTACCTACGGTAGGTATACGCTGTGTCTGGTCGACATTATAATTTATAATAATAATATGATATACCCACACGAGTTTCTAGACTGCACGCGTCATTGTACCACTCATTAAAATATTCGACGAACACAAACGCTGTAATGATAGTCAAATAATATTCTGATCCAGTTTTAACGATGTCCTCCTGCACTGCGCGTATAACTAACAGCTATCTGTAATCATCCATATGTGTATACTTAATGTATATAGTGCGTATAGTATACGCGTTTTATATACATTACACATTACCACTACAATAATATATATGTACTCTGGTACTCCAGTAGTCGGTTACCTATTTAATATACCTCTATATAATTTACCTGTGTATATAGTTAACTCAACAATAATAATAATAATACACAAAAATATGAACTGGAATAGGAATGACCCGTCAAACGGGTGCCGGCAATTATATCTACAATATAGACAACAACGTATTTAAAATCAATTGATTTTTTTCAATTTTATTTATAACAAAGGAACACAATATAATATAATATAAACATTATCAGTCAACAACCGCAGTTATAGTTGTAGATAACTGCAGCTATTAAAATTGAATCACAGAATCGCTGTTGAAAAAATAATTATTTATCACAAATACAATAATAATGCATACGACAGCGTTTTATATACATACAAATTCGTAATACGTTATTGTACAAATATTTTTTTAAAAACAAAAATAAAAAATATATTTGTCAAGTCTTAAGTACATATAAAAAGAAAATCAATATATTATGATGATAATCAGTAAAGAATCGCAAGACGATAAAATATCTTTCATATAAACAAAGTTAAATCTAATAATATAATATAATGTATATAATAAATATTATATATTCGCTGATCGAAATTGATCTATATATATAATATAATATTATACGAACACGTTTACAGGTGGTAAAAATGGTTTACACTGTTTAGAGATCCCAGTATTATAGATACCACAAAAATATAAAATTAAAAAAAAAATAAAAATAAAAATACACACGCACGCAAACACACATTATGTACATGTATTATAGAAACGAGTTTTGAGCAATTTGTGAAAGACTTTCGGGGGCGGACGGACGAGACGGACCGGCGACGGCAACTTGGTGCAATATTAGTACCTGCAGGGCTGCTGTCTCTGGGGCGTCTGTTGGCTGGTGAATGATGGTCGGCCGGCGGTGCGGATGTCCGATTCGAACCAGAAATCGCGGGACATGTAGTACCCGGCCTCGGGCAACAAAGATACGAGCTGCCTGCGGTCGGCCGGTCGGAGTTCCTCGAAAGACATGCCCAATCCGGACTCGATGCTGACCGTGTCCGAGTAATAGTCGTCCTCGTCGTACACGACCGCCTGTGATAGCTTGCGCTCGATGTACTCGTTCTGAAGGTTCTCCAGCTCTTCGGGTGATAAGCCCCGCGGGTCCAGAGCCGAACCGACTTGTTGGGCGGCCGGGGTCACGGCGTTCCGGCGGCACAACGCTCTCAGTATCGGTTTGATAGTCTGTAAACAAGAAAAAAAAATTCCGTTAGATATGGAATACGAGAAGAACGGCGTATAGATATATTGCACGAGGCGTATATATCGGATGCGGACAGTTATGTAATAATATTAGGTGTATATAATGCGACGCTTACCTTGTTGATTTTGTGCATTTTTCGGGCGACGAAAGACCGTTTCTTGTGGACGGCCTCCCAGTTGGTAGAGTTTTGCATGTGTTCGAAGTCGAAGCTGTTTGACAGATAAGCCATTTTATCGCAGTTTGTATATGTATCGGATCCGGAAGTAAATAATCAACGAATGATAACGAACGACGATATTATAATAATAACAAAAACAATATTATTGTGACACTGTTTGTAGTTTTCACGACGACGATGATAACACTGATGAGATACTGTGAAGTGTGATAAGGGCGACGACGGGTGATGTGCTCGGTATGCCGTTCGACGGAGTACTGTTGCCTGTCGTTCGGGCGGCGGGCTCTTTTATAGGGTCATAGCGACGGGGGCAGGTGTTGGCAGATGCGGCGCCGCGCAGTGGTCTCGAACGCGCACGGACGGGACCGTGAGAAACGTCGGATTCTCGCGATCCCATGGCGGAGGACGCGGCAGATGGCGAACGGAGCGGCGGCGGCGCTGTGGACGACCCTCGCGGCCTGCACAAACTGCACCTGCGCGCGCGCGCCCGAATCGACCCCGCGCTACGCCCTCGCCCGTGACCGCCGCAGAACTCCCTCAGCCAGCGAGATTTAATATATTATTATTATTATTATTATTGTTGAACGCATATTATTATATTATATCGTGTGTGTAAGGGGTTTTTTTTCATCCCTCGTCGTCGTCTTCGTCGTATATATATACATAATAATGCGTAATACCGTCACGGACCCGTTCGGACCTGCACAATACCGTAAGTGCAACACGCTGGATCCTTTTCTTTTGTACGTCGTCTCCTTATATATTAAATTCTATAGATATATATTTTAAAGGTATACCCTATAGGTATATACGCGTATGATATTGCGATGTCGTTTTCTTTTATATATTATTGTATCGTGTGCTGGATGTTTTATTACTCATCGTTTTCGCTGACCGTTTTGCAACACGTTCGAACAGGTCTCGATTCTGTCGACCTCGAATATCGTCGTGCAGCCCTCCCCAAATACGCGAACCGCGAGTTCCTATACAATATTATTGTACTTATCAGGTAAAGTCGCGGTGCATAGGGGTACACGCGATCTTAGGGGCAGACACGTGACATCCACCCGATACTTATATATAATACATACACCGATACCTATACGTGCGCAAAGCGTGTGCTTCGACGCGGGTCGAGTTACCGCGGTATAGGTTCGGGTGTGGATTTACCATAACCCTTTTTCAGTCCGACTCTGGGTCGTTTCGCCGCAGATATAGGTGATAATTAGGTATACAAGACGTCACTTAATGTACAATCACCTTATATACGATATACCTGTGATAAATAATAACAATAACAATAACAATGTATGTCTCCCGCGTATAATATCTCTGGAAACGGTAATCATTGCCGACTGCCGTTACTGAAGATTTCAAGATTTTGTTTTTTTTTTGTGCCGAGTTACGACTCGTTATATTATTGTCCTACAACTGCAACCGACGACGCCCCCACCACCACCCTCGGCTTTGTTATTGTTCATCTGTACTGCCTAAGTACATTATATTATTACTATTATATTGTACGGACCCCGACGCCGTCTCGATTGACCGCGGTATACCATTACACGACCGCGATGACCTGTTGATTTGATCTCTCTTGTAGTGTTATATTATACGTATATTATTAGGTAGGCACATTATATTGTAATATATCTGCATTCGCCGCCTGATTTCGATTTTTGTATATAATATTATGCAGGAGGTCCAATGTATTATTATTACGTAATATATTAAGCCGTAAATATACCTTCACCCTAAATACGCGTATTATCCGTTTTTGTACACACGCATGTATTTCTACGGTAAACTCGAATAAAACGTACGACACGACCGGCAACGTAGTATAGGTAGTTTGTTGTTATTACGTTATTATTATTATTATTATTTGTGAGTTCTGTTCGGTGCCGCCTTGACTTCGTAAGCAGTTTCACGCATAACATAATATATTATAATAATAATAGAGGCTCGAATATAATTATGACCTCCGAAACTGTTGGGTAAGGTCAAACTACATCTTCAGAAAATACAGTAGGGCCTGCACCACCGAGCGCATGTATTTTATTCGTTATTTCATACGAGATTATACAGAAATGTATAATTTATAATATTATTATTATGTACTATGATAATTTTGCGTACGCCCAACCGACGTGGACTGCAGTCGAGGAATATTCTCGTATGGGTATTATATTATGACTCTCATGAATTATTATCACTGGTATGACTTACGATGTGATTATAATGTTATGTACGCCGTACAGCATTCGGACGTCAAACCCGTCTCGGTTTTGTTATCGTAAATTTTTTTCTCCCGAATATTTCCATACGGCGTATAATCGATCGATTATAACATTTACGTCAACCAGTCCGATAAACACGAGCTGCACATCCGCCGCCCGCCCAGCCATTGAAATCTGTACAAACACGTGTACGCACACGAACGGACTTCATTGCCCTTTGCACATAAAAATTATAAAGTTATAACATATTATATATAAGGAACGAGCAGCGACAATCCAAAATGTACTATTGTGTAATTCCCAGATATTAACTGTACAGAAATGACCAAAAACTGCTCCGTCCTCCGAATACGTTATATTGCGTATAATGACGTAATGTGTATTACCACCTCAAAATATTTAATAAATTTAACTAAGCAAATTGTTGAGATTAAAATTTAAAGTTTAAAAATTGTACCTAAATATAGTTGTTTTCTTTCCATGAATTCGATGCAAAATAAACATTTCCTGGAACCTCGGGTTTTGGAATGAACTATTAATTATGACATGTATTACTATGTAAATTATGTTATCACATGCTATTTCCTAGACAAATATATCTTCTCTTGTAATGACTTTAAAAAAATCTTCGAATAATACAATATGAAGGAGAATATCAATCTCTAAATTTGTTAATAAAAAACTGACCCATCGGTTACTCGTACAGATCAAGTACACGCATGATTTGTGATGTCATCGATTAAAGAAACTATATATCCGAAAACCAAATGTATGTGGCGAGCTTATATTATTATATACTCAAAAACTACTCAATTAAATTTGACGAAAATCTCGGAGATGTCAGAAAAGTTTAGAGAGCAGTGGCGTATATAGAAATCATTTTTTGGGGTGATCTATAGTAGACAGAAACTAGCAAGTGATCTATTACTTAGAGGCTACTGTCTATACTAACAGTTACTATAAATTTATTCGTATTTGTTATTTTTCAACAGGCTATGAAATATTATAACATTTATAACTTATAATAGTACCTAGTAAAATATATTGTTGTTCTATTTAAAAATACTGTAATTTCGGGGAGGGGGGCTGCAGCCCACTGTGCCCACCCCTATATACACCACTGTTAGAGAGTAAGTTGTTTATACCACGTTAAAAATATACCAAGTGCTGAATACAATCCACGACTTGCGGTTGCCCATCTAGATCAAATTATTTTACAAAGTTAGGTAAACTAAAACTGAGATAGGTACACTCAAACCGAGATACACGCCTGAATAGCGTATATATGCTGTACCTAGGAGTTGCCACAAAAAAAAAAAAACTGTACTTACACTAGTGAAGCCGAGATATTCGGCTGGTATAATATATAGATACTGTATAGTATAAACTATTCTGTAACGTCCTATCATTTATTATTATTATAGTATAGGTGACCTATACACGACGATGGGTGCTCGATCCGGAATTCCGTCCTTTACACATTTTTTACTGTATTATACTATTGTATACGTGACGACTCACGCGGGGCATTATAATATAATATAATTAATCCGCCGCGGCACATATCCGTTAACGGCTAGCGTGTGCCGCTTCCCTACATCGCCGTCACGTCATATATTATAATCTCTGCGAGTGCGTGCGTGCACCTATATAACATGTACATAAAGCCACCGTATACGATGTGGTACCTACAACTATACGGTTGTAATTGATAGCCGTATACCTATATATACCGCAGCATAATTATGTTGAATCTCGATCGTCGGCTCGTTTGTGCGTCGGAAAGCCGACGACCGACAGCGGTGATGCTGACCGCCGGCCCCGCGGCCTACGAGGATAAATCAAATTCGTCTAACCAGAATCTCGTTAAAACAGGTATAATATGTTAAACGTACGAGCTGTCAATTCGTACGGGGTGTATACCAACCTACTACTACCACTGACGGTAACAGTAGGTATAGTGTATATATATATATGTAATAGCGGTGCCGCGGTTTAAAAGCAAAATATAATGATATTATAATATAGCCAGGTAATAAGGCGAAGGTCAAACCGTATTATTACACCTTGTACACCTGCAGTATATTATTATAATAATATTGTGATTATTATTATAGGTATATTATAGTGTATATTATTATTTGCGCGAATTTCACCGTCGTTCGAAACTCGTAACTATACACCGCGTTATAATACACGTCGTAAACCTACAACTATGTATATATTTACTATATATATATTATGGGTATACTGGATAATTTGACGTGTATAATTATTACGATCTTCAGTCCGATCGAGCTGAAGCTCTGCAGGTACACAGCGCTCGTTTATCGCTTATTATACAATAATTATTTTATGAAAGTATGTTATTTAGGTATATCTTCTTCGATCGGTACGGTAACTATATTCGACCAACAGAATATATTAAAATATTATGAAGATGATATTGTTTGAATATTTTATAAAATATTATAATCGAATGTGTCCTGATTGACTGAATAGTGTTGAGCCTTAACTATAGCTATGATAGTTATAGGGACTTTATATTTTGACAGAATTTAATATACCACCATGTAATGGTACACTCAGATAGGATTTTGCATTTTAAAGAGATGCTCACAAAGTCACACAAAGCTTTTGAAATTCATAATTTGCTTTTTGTTTATTAATGGTTACCATTGGTTATAGCATATAGATTATAAAAGTTTATAGTAATCGATAGAAATACACAGTAGCAGTTATTATTGGAAATAGGTAAGTATTTTTTTTTAAATATAAATTGATGTCACTGCAGGTTACATGAATATAATT